CTCATATAAATGTGGGATTATTACTTTATTAGATAATAATCAAAAGGTAAGATTATTAACAGCGAACCGGTTAAAGGTGGGATTATTAGAATCAATTTTTCCGATAATAATAATAATAATAATAATAATAATAATAATAATAATAAATTATTGCATCCAAATCTATTCCAATTGTCCAAATATTTTTTGCTCTTTGGCATCGAGTTTCTTATATAAGAAAGACATTGCAATAATGTTAATGAGATCAACATCAATTGTTGTGTTATAGTGTCATGCGTGCCCAAGAATTTGAATCACTATATATCACTCGAAAACATCCTAGTTTATATAATTATTTTTTTCTGAAAAAAAAAAGTTTATCTTACTTATCGACTAGTTCATGGCTTAACTTTGAAGTTGCGCATTATCTATCTTTTGGGTGCACCACAATTACAACTTACAAGTGCAGTGTTGTACGTAACTAACATGCACTGAGATTATGAGAAAGTATGGAAACAATTCAAAGCAGAGTGCAGGAATTTGACGTGAGAAATAAGAAAAACTAAGGCACATTATTCCAATTTTGTGTATAAAACCTACAAGTTACATCAATTCAGTCCGAGGAATGATATTCAGGATATTGTGGAATTGTTATGTTTGATAAAAACAGCAATAAATAACATTGCATACGAACATTTTCATAAAATTTTGTTTTACATTTTTGTTTAATTAACGAAGAGCTCTATCAATTTGTTGTATTTATGAAGATTAATTTTGTCTGATTCATATGTTGAATACAAATTAAAATGTTAAACTCTTTGTACAATATTAAACTAAAATAACTCGGAAAAAAAATCCCACCTTTGGGCATACACACATAAACCAAGTAGTTTAATTTAATTTAAATGAACAACAAAATTTATTTTAAACAAATCAAAGAGAAAGGGTTGGAAATAAATAAATTTTAATTTCAGCCAATAAAACCCTAATCTATGTTTTCTAACCTTTTCTCCTCTAGTCCTCTCTCTAAAAAAATCCTAGCCTCCACTGTTAAATTTTAGAGGGATTTTCATCTGTTTTTACTAGTAGAAAGCCCTAACCTTTGCTTCTTGAGTACAATGTTTTTCTTTTTGCTTTTGTTTGTGCTTATGTTTGTAATAACTCTTCTTTTCTCCCTCGAAAGATAGAGTGGTTTTTCTTCTCTAGGATCAAAGGATTTTTTTCTCTAGCTTTCGAAAGGGACGATTTTTCTTCTCCTCTTTTGAGGGAGGGGATTTGCTTATATGTTTTAATGGATCACTATAATATTGTTTCATTGGTGAAGAATTATATGAAATCGCAAAAGTTATCAATTTCGAGAATACAATTAAATGAAAACCATTCTCACGGCTACAACAAATTGTTAGATCATTCCTCTATAAAATATTGTATTTTTTTGGCAATATGAGTGGGTGATAGAAGTTCCACAGTGCAAGATCTACTATACGATTGTAACTTATATAAAGGAAATCTTTATTTAATTAATATGCTATGTATTGTTAAATTCAAATATTTTTTTAGATGTTATTTAATGATTTATTTTTTCTTAATTTTATAATAAAAAAAAGTGATGAAATTAAATTTAATCAACTTTGGAAGAACTTTCTATAAACTACGACACAATGGAGCTACATCTTATGACAACTAATTTAAGATTATTTATTGTTAGGTTTCACAATTTGACCATGTGCATTACTCTTATTTTTTTTTTAAAAGTTCTTTTTGGTTAAAAAAGTACTTCGTATTTGTTTTCTAACCCAAGTTGGATTGATTTAAACCTTAGTATGAAGGGTTTTTTAAGCTGCGTTGATGATTCTTGGACTTTCTTTTTTTTTGAAAACATGATTCTTGGACTTTCTTATTAAAGAAAATTATCAAAAGTGGACGGAATTCGTGGTCAATTTTTTTTCACAATTTTTTTGTCTTAGGACTCTTTTCCGTTTCCGAGTGGCACGTATTTTTACATTAAAAAGCTTCAATACATACTACTTAATACTTTTTTGGATTGCTACAACCTTATTAGACTATATATTATCATTTGTTAAATTCCATTTAAGTTTTAAAATCCTTTCCAAACAACTTTTTTTATTCCTTAATGGTGACACTCGTTTACTATTATTGTTCTGATTCTTGCATTGTTTTGTAATAACTTAAGCTAGTTTTCAATCTATTAATCCATCTAATTGATTACACGCGGAGTAGAATTTATAAAAGAAGAATCATATCATCTCTTAAAATAAAAATGATTGAAACAAGTCCTTAATTAAATTTGCTATATGCTCTCAATTTTGCAAACTCATATAATAATGGAGGGTCGCCCTATTCTTGATCGTAGATAACACATTCTCTCCTCTCGAGTCTTGACCTCCTTCGCACTCATTAACCATTTTTTCAAAAGAAGTTCGTTGTAAAGGTTATAAACTTTAAAGTTACTATATAAGTATATATATGATAACCGATTTAAAGAGAAATGACAGAACATAAATGATGCGGCATGTGAATAAACCTAGTCGTATAATGATTTGGCGAGTGCATAGTCCTAAAGACTAGTGTTTGTTTTTTTGGTTTTTTTTTTTTTTTTACAGTCCCTAAAGACTAGTTGTTACACCGTAATAACCAGAAGTGTAGAAGAAATCCAAAATGGGTACGCTATCTACGTAAAGAAGGAGACAAGTCGGACCAGAGTTCAAACCTTGACAAAAGCGTGTTAGACTTGGTATTTTTTTGTTTAATTTTTGTGTGGTTAGTTTGAAGTCTAAATCAGTCAGCAAAGCATAGTTAGTAATAATTACTCCACTCTTTATTTAATTTGTTTTTGGATAAGTTAAACTTGGTCTGTAATTGTACGGTTGGCTTTATCTTATTACACGGTTTTAATTAGCTGGCAATTTTCAACACTTTGTTTTGCTTCATTTCTCTGTTTTGGAAGTTTTTTCTTTTCTTTTTTTTTTTAAAAAATCAATTTCTCAATTCTTTTATTTGAAAAGTCAAATTAATTATACCTTTTCTATGAGTACAAGCAATTTTAGATTTTTAGATCTTTAATAAAAAAAAAATAATAAAAAAAAGTACAAGCAATTTTAGAGTTTTATCCAAAAATTCCAAATGTGTTCTTATTTTTAATTTTTTTTTTCTAATTTTTTTTATTATGGGTACTTTTTTCAATCCAATCCATAAACATTTATTACATAAAAATAAATTTCATAAATATTGCAATAATTCCTTAATTAAAACCTAATTTTTCTCTTCAGATTACAAATATTCAATATACTTCGCAACTTTACATTCAACTCATTTAGGCCCTGTTTAATTTACCTTATTTTTATTGAAATGAATTTATTTTTGCTGAACTTAAATTGATTTTACTGAACTGAAATTAATTTTGCTGAACTGAAATTATTTTTACTGATTCTCTATTATATTAATTTGCCCAAAATAACACGAACTTTGGCCGGTTCGCCAATAATAACACCACCTTTGAGTTATTCCAAAATAACACCAACTTTGGGGGGTGTCTTCCAAAAATGGTACAAAAAAAATGGTAACCGGATTTAGGAGGTAATATTGCTGACGTGTGTTATGTCTTTGCCAGGTTGTGCGTTGCTTCCCCTTAACCATCCAACGTGTTCTTTCTTCTTCTTTATAACCGTTAGAAAAAAATGCCAAGCCCTTTATTCTTCCTTCTTCTTCATTCTCTGTTGTTCCTCTCTCAGTAGTCGTTGCTCCATCTTCTTCCTCTGTTTCTTTGTTTTCCTCTCTCTTAATTTGTTGCTCCTTCTTCATCTTCAAGTTCTTTGTTTTCCTCTGCTCTTCATCTCTCTTTAATCGTTCGTGTTGTATCAATTTTAGTGCTCTTAAAAAATTAATCAATGGCTACAAGAAGGTCAATTTCGAACCAATCATGTTCATCCTCTAGCATAAAAAGGATGGGTAATTCGAAAATTCGTTGCAATTGTGGGAATGAAGCTTTGATTAAAACTGTGAGAAAAGGCCCTAATTTGGGGATGAAGTTCTACGGCTGCCCTATGTGGCCAGTAAGTTGTGATTGATTGTCCTATGTTTATTGCATCTTTTTTTGTTTATTGCATCTTTTTTTGTTTATTGTAATTTGGGGATATGTAATTGTAATTACCCTAATTTGGTGTTGTTTATTGTTCATATTTACTGGATGCAGGACACTCAATGTGATTTTTTCAAGTGGGTGAATGAGCAGGCTGAGATGGAAGATTATGAAGTGAAGTTGTTGGAAAAGGAAACCGTAATTGGTGAGTTACAGGTTGAACAAAAAATCGCACATGAGAAAATAAAGAAATTGCAATTAAAGAAAGGAAAATTGGAGGAAGACATCATAGGGTTGAAGAATGAAATAGTTGTAATGAAGATTGATTTAATGAAGTGTGGTAGGAATGAAAAAACGTTGTACTTAGCATTGTTGTTTTCTTGGTTGTTGTTTGGTGTTGTAATCTTCCTTTATTGATTAAGGAAGAAATGAGGATGTATGTTGAATGTTTTATGTGGAAATAAAAAGCAATCAGTGTAATTGATTAATGGATGCTTAATTGAATGTTTAATGAGTAATGTTTGCTGTTGTATTTTGTACTTAATTGATTTTCATCATAATTGCAATAGCAGTGTACAATTGACATACCAGAGCTAGATCAAAAGACCACAAATTTCCCAAATTATTTGCACAAAATGAAAAACAAACAAAACCAGAGCAATGTTAAAAGACCACAAATTATTTGCACAAATTGAAAAACACAACCACAGCAATATCAAAAGACAAAGGCAGAACTGTTATAATGCCTGCAAATGTTTCAATAATGCATGCAACTGTTTCCAAAATACCTGCAACTGTTTCCAATACTTAATTACATAAGATCTCTAACATTGTTTAACAACTAAATTGTTTGACAAATTACACACTTAGACCAAAAGCATACTTAGTAAGTACAAAAGAAATGGGGCACATAAGATCTTCACTTGATCACTGCTGCATCTGGGAGATAGATCTTGTGTTTGGTCTGGTACTTGGTGCCTGCCACACAAATTACAAAGTTATTGGCTTATTTTCCAAAAAAAAAAACAAAGCAAACACAAAAATGAAAGGGGGAGTACTAATTCTTACTGTAACAATTGGGCTTCCATCATCAGCAAACATTATCCCAATTCCTGATGGTTGTGCTCTTCCCCTTCCCCTTCCTCTTCCCCTACTTGTAGTTGTAGACCCTCTACCAGCCGAGCTTCTTCCTCTGGTGCTGCTTTGACTGACACTTCTAGCACCTTGACCTCCAAGTATCATTCTTCCACCCCTGCCTAGTTGAGTTGGCTGTGCAGTAGCAGTATGGTGGGCAAATTGTGTTGCAGGAGTTGAAGATGATGCAGTCTGTGTCAGGGTGGGTGTTGGGGTTGCTTGTGTAGATGGGGCATGTGAGGTTACATCAGTAGATGGGGCAGTCTTTCTTGGTCTTCCCTTGGGTCTTTTGGGTGCTGGTTCATCAGGGACAACAGAATCCTTGTCTTTGCAGCCTCTCTTGTTATGACCCTTCTTCTTGCATATGCTACAAGTCATTTCTACTCCTGCCCTACTCAATGACCCTGGCTTCTTAGGATTCTCAAGAGGGTGCTTAATTCTGTTCTTTCTTGGCCTACCAGGACCTATCTTGATAGGAGGGGGGTCCAAATTGCATGGACATCTTGGCCAATACCTCTCACCTTCACATGGAGGTATACAACCACTGTAGGCCTTCTTATAAGTCTCAACTTTGTAACATTCATCAACAAATACCTCAGGTTCTTGGTTCACAAAATAAATGCAAGCTATGGCATGACAGCAAGGAATGCCTACCATATTCCATTTTCTACAACTACAAGTTCTAGCAACTAAATCTACATTCAACTGATCCAAATAATACCTAACATTAAACTGAGTCACAGAAGAAGGCAAGACACTGTTTCAAGACTTGCTTCCTTCAATGCCTTCAAGTACCTCTCCACCTTCATATAATGCTCTTTCATAGAGCCATGTAACATCTTGTGTGCATGGTATTTTACTTTGTAAGCAAAATCTCTACTGACAATCATTCTGTAAGACCTCCTTACAGTGTGTACAATCTCCTTAGCTGGCCAATGTGGCCTAGCTTTGAACACATCAAGCAACTGCCTAGCCACCCAACTGGACTTCAACTGCCTGTTACTATTCATGTTCCTATGGCATGTGTGATTTCCAACTACTCTCTTCACTAGCCAAGTTGCATCTCTAGAATGCACAGAAAAATATAAATAAAATGGACATTCACCAACACATTTCACTCCCAACCTTTGTCTGTTTTTCCAGCTCACACTATACTTTAGATCTCTACCCTGTAATACAGCATACTTAGTGACAGCATCCTTAATGTCACTGGCATTAGCAAACCTCTGACCAACCTTCCAATGAAACTTACTGAAATCAGTTTCATGGCTCACTAACTCTCCCTTTTTCCCTTCTAATTCATCACTACTACCAGGTGGTGTATCAATGTCATTATCTTCATCACAGTCACTTAGGTTTACATCCCTTGCAACCTCTTCATGAACTGAGTTCTCCCTCTCTTCATCAACTTCAAACTCCCTCTCCTCATCAACTGCCTTTTCCTTCTCCTTCTCCTTACAAACTTTTTCTTGCAATCCCTTCACTATCTCAAGTAACTTTGTATTAACCCTCTTTACTCTATCCCTTGCTTCAATAATCTCATCATCAATGTCATCAGATTCATCTTCAAAGAAATCAGTTTGTTCTAGATCTTCACCTTCACCTTCTAGATCTATGTCAGATAGACTAAAATCACCTTCCTTCTCTTTCTCTATGCTCTCATCTACCTCAAACTGAAAATCATCTTCATCATCATCTTCAAACTCCCCACCCTCACAAAACTTCTGATACTCATGATCATATAATGGATCACTGTCATCACTAGACTCATCATCAGCAACTAATTCATTCCATTTCAAAGGGCTCTCTGGTCTGTCATCCTCCCACTCAAATTCATCATTGAAATCTGTGTTAACATCAGGCAACTCACCAGTAGAAACAAACTCTAAGGATGGGAATTGAGAAAGATGAAGAGACTGGTTTTGAGTGAAGGGTTGAGTTTCTGAAGTGATTTTCAAGGGGGGTTGAGTCTGTTTTTTTGTTTTTTTTTGGGGAAGGTCAGATGCTTTTTCTGGTAAAGTTATAGATGCTTTTTTGGGTGATGTGGTAGATGCTTTTATAGGTGAAGTGGAAGCATCTTCTTCAGTCAATGAGGGTTTCACCACCTGTGTTTGTGGTCCCTTCCTTGTGGTCAATTTTTTTCTTTTGTTCAGTTTGGGTGGGGGTTTCTCAAGTACCTTGCCTGTTGTTTTGGATATGGTAACTTTGGGGTCAGCATTCAACAAAGTACTTTTCTGACTTGTGTTGCCCACATCAACTTCCACAACTTCAGCATTTGAACCTTCTCCCACTTCTCTCTCAAACTGAACTGCATACACAACAATACTCCTATTTACAACAGCTAACTTACCCATCTCTAACACCTCAGCATCCCCTTGAATTACTCTCAAACCTTTCTCAATATTTAACCCAGGCATTTGGTAAAACAAAGCATCCACATGAGCAAGCCCACACTTACTACCATAATCCCTTAAGTCCCAGTAACAAAGTTCATCTGGGTCAACATCAAAGTTAATATAACTCCCACCCTTATACACCATTTCACCATTACGAACATGCTTAAATTGACCCCCATACCAGAATCGAACAGTCACATTATCAAAAACATGAGTATTTGCAGCAGACCCTAGAATTAAACAACTCAATTAGACTACAAACAAACACTCAAGTAATTAACCCTAATTCAGCAATTAACAAGAAAATTTATCGAGTGAACAACATAATTCACCATACAAATCAACCTAATTATTAAACCTACTTTAACAATTACCAGCATAATTAAACATACGAACATCCATATTCAAATTAGAACACATAAAATCCACCCAACAATCATAATTCAAACAAAACAAAGAAATTAAAAAAACACGAACCTTTCTTCTTCGTCTTTCTGGGCATTTTGGGAACCAAAGATCGCAACTTTTTCACTCTTCTCTTCACTTCACTTCAATGCAATTTTCTTTGGGAGCAGTAGAATTTCGGAATTGAGTTCTGATTATTTCAAAGGGAAATGACGAAATGAGGAATTGAATATGCTCTGAGATCCTCTGATAAAATGGTTCGAAGACGAAGAAAGAGAGTGAAATATGGAGGGAAATGAATTAAAGAGGGAGACAGGAGTTAGGTGTGCAAAATTTAATTACACGTTGGATGGTTAAGGGGAAGCAACGCACAACCTGGCAAAGACATAACACACGTCAGCAATATTACCTCCTAAATCCGGTTACCATTTTTTTTGTACCATTTTTGGAAGACACCCCCCAAAGTTGGTGTTATTTTGGAATAACTCAAAGGTGGTGTTATTATTGGCGAACCGGCCAAAGTTCGTGTTATTTTGGGCAAATTTCCCTTTTTACTGAACTAAACTTATTTTTATTGAACTGAAGTTATTTTTTACTAAACTAAACTTATTTTTACTGAACTGAAATTATTTCTTTTAAGGTGAAGTGAACAGGGCCTTACTTCATCTTTATGAGTAATTTACAGGGATTGTGTGGTCCTTTCTCATCTTTTACAGAGTACCCAATTTCCTAAAACTTGTGTACTCCTATGTTGTTGCAATATTTTTAAAACGAGGAATTATAAGCTTAACTTAAAAACCTTTAAAAACATATTAGAGTTTATGATTTGTTATTTTTACCACGTTTAGCTCAGGTCATTTTGAGAATTACCGACTTATACTACTTTTTTTTTTTTCCAGTTTTTACCACCTTATGTTATATATATATATATATATATATATATATATATATATATATATATATATATATATATATATATATATAATCGATGTTACCGGGAATAACTGTTTCCATCCAAAATTCGTCCAAGTGGGGCCCACCAACATATATCTTTCGGTTTCCCCCTTTCGTTCTTCGATTTCTTAATTGCAAATCTTAATTCGAAAAGGCAAAATTAAGTTCCTAATTTACGTAATTGAGGATAATTATATCTTGTTCTTCATTCAGGGATTCTCATTGAAAAATTGGGGTTTGTTATTTAGTAATTAGTTTACGAATCAGGGTTCCTATGTCATGTGGCCAGTTTTTTTTTTTTTTTTTTTTTTTTTTAAACTATGAGTTATATTAATCATACATGGATTGGGCACATATACTATAGCTAATTGTGAAGTTAATCAAAGTAAATTGATACATGATTAGTGACTTAGTTCTCTTTTGTATGAACTTGAAATAGAACATCTACGACTCAATGCTTTGTGCTGACCAAATTTTAATTTAGACGAGTAAAAATGCAATAAAATATGAGAATCGAATATAGTGAAGTTAGAAAAGGAAGAAATCCATCCATAGACCCTATTTGGACGTAAATTTGGATTGTGAAAACCGTCATATGGTGGTAATATCAATAAAAATTATAAAACATAAAAAAAAAATTAAAAAAAAAAGTATAAGGTGGTAATTCTCAAAATGACCTAAACTAAAGGTGGTAAAAATAATAATAATAAAAAAAAAAAAATCTAATGTTTATTAGAAAATATGAATTAGAATTGGGCCATCTACATTAGAATATATTCTAAGTATGGAATTATTAGAAGTTTATTACTGCGTACAATTTATTCTTATTTTAGATGTATTTGTAAAACTTACAAAATATTTTTTAAGGTGAAAAGAATAGTAGACATACACTACCTAATAAAGAGAGAATTTAAACTTCATTTGGTAATATTTCATGTGAGTGAAACTTAAAGTTCGTTGAACAAAATCAAATTTGATTATGAAGGTGTGAAGCTATTAATTTATTTAATTTGAGTGCTACCCACTGTTTAATAGTTTCCTTTGAATACATTTATTTATTTTAAAAAGAAAACGCTCAATCTTATTGTAAGCTTGGAATTATCAGGCTTGACATCAGAAGGTATCTATCTCACCTTTATTTTTACACTTGGCATGGTATTTTGCACGTTATATATATGCATGTAGTTTCTAATTAACTTTCTACTATGTGTCCCTCATTCCCTTATATTGGCATGCCCTAATAAAATTTGACTTTGCTTCTTTCACATGCATCATACTCATGCATGCCCTAATAACCTTTGACATTCATTCTAGCCTGGATGTATTGGAGAGGCTCCCACCAGATGACCAGAACATTTTCGTATTGTAGTAGTGATGATTAATCTCATTTTTTTTAGAGGGAAATATACATAAATTAGTTGGCACACATCATGCATCCATAAAAAAAATATATAACAATTTTTGGAAATTTATCACACTAAGGAAGTGTTTCCCAAATAGAGTTTGTATTCATGTAAATCTGTGACTAGTCATTACTTTCTCTTTTTCAAAATAAATGTCAAGGTTTGACCAACATATTTAATGCGAAATTTTGATCAAAAATATTTTTAATTATCAATAAGTTTAAATTATAAAAAGAGGATATTCGAAAACTATACTATAAGATGATTCTAACAAGTATATATATATATATTGTTGAATTGACTACCTTAATATTTTGATGATTGACTTACGTAAAACAAACTCTGACTAATGATGTTTATGAGTCTTGGTTGAACAGAAAGATTTAGGTACACAAATACATGTTCCGGAGTAGGAACAACAGAGTTTGGAAGACTTGATGATGAATGCAAGCTTTCAAGATGTCCTCACAACTCTATATACTTAGTTACTCAGTGTACGAGCTTAA